TCAACCTGGTCCCTACCGCCCACTAGTGGGCGATTCAAGCGGTGGGCGGTGGGGGTTTTTGTCCGTTACAAATTTTGTTCTTCCCCCATATATTGAATACGTTGCTAACAACTTCGCGAGTTTGACTTTTTAAAATATGCTTTTGCAATTTACTTTTGAATTCCATCTCTAAACTTTGAATATAGATAATAATTCAGCAGACACTTCTTGAGGTATACTCGTGGACGAGGGAGCAACGAATGAGCTCCGAAGCCAAAGGCACGAGTTTAGTGCGCATAACGAGGGCGGGGCTTACCACCGGCCATCACTCGGTCTTCGAGCTGTACCTCTTTCATGGTGGGGAGGAAATTTTACCATCAACAAAGATACAAAAGTGGGCGGTAGGTATAAAAAGGTTGACGACCCCTGCTTTAAAGGGATGCAGATACACAGCTGTCGCTTATCTACATTCAGTCCGGAGTCCCTTGCTGTTCTACCTCTCGACTATTTTCTTCTGTCTTACTCTGCCACTCCCTTCTCTTCCAGGCAGTCGGCTTGCATCTCTTGGTGGTTCTTTAAGCTGAACTACCCATCACATTTTTGATTGTCTGATAACCGTAAAATTGTTTTTTAAGTTCAAGTGTATTTTGCCGTAGAATTGTTAAAACTTGCCTTTCGCACTACGCTGTACGTGTTACTCTGTTCTAGGTAAAAGATTTGCGAAACAGAGGGGTGTGATTGAAGTTTCTGCCAGCAGCGACACAGTTGATGAACTCGATATTCAGGTGGGCTTAATACATTGCAGGTACGTACTGTGCATTTTGCTGTTCTCAAGTTTGCAGGATGTGTTTTTCGGTGACATTCAGAATGACTGGTAACATCGCCACAGAAGCGCGGTTGACGAAAATGAAGAAGTGCGCAAGAGTTGTGGGACATGGCTGTTAAGTATTGTAATATAGTATGCATGTGCCAATATTAAAATATTAAATAGCATAGCATACAAGTGAATTTTAATGCATTTTTTTTTAAGAAAAAAGATTGTAATTTTACAAAATATTGTGTTTGGTGGGGCTTGGTGAGTGTTGGGTAAGGCAAGACTGTCATTCACGGAGCCCCGAATTCAGTCTCGTATCATTTTGACAATCTATAAGAGGCACCGAGGTATTCTGTAGTGTCGTAAAACTATTTTTCCTTTAAAGAGAAAGGCGCATAACCTCCTTCAAGTTCACTGCAACGCTACATCACTTGTTACCACTGAACATGTATCCACTCTCAGGTTATTCAGAATATGTTTATATCGCGTACAAGTGTGGAATAATTTCCGATGTAAAGCCGTCTTAAATATGGTTTTCCTCTATTCTAAGCTGCTTCAAGATGCAGCTTCGGCGTGTTGTGTCATAAAAGATGCTTAGTGCCGTTCTGATAAATAGCTACGTCATTTCTTTGTGGGTAAATTTTTGAGCCAATTAAGGTTAATGTGCAAGCGCCATAATTAATATAATGGAACAAGGTGAAATTGTGTTATGAAAAAAATCAAAACTTTGTCCAAATGAGTGTTTTTTATACTGTGTGTACAGTAATTGAAATAATGACATTAATTCATGACACTTGTGCAGTATGATGAAAAACAATTGCAGTTCATAAAAGTGTGTTTTAAAGAGAAAATGAGTGTAATTATAGGAAGACGTATTTCACATGACATTAGAATGTACCTAATTGCATGCAGGCATTTTGTTGTTTCCTTGCGCATTTATAATTAGTCCATTTACATTTTGTTTATATTCGTGCTTCAGATTATTTTTGCACGCTGTAAAATCCTTTTGTGTAAGGAACGTTTCTTTGGGGCCGAGTCTTGATGCGTTTGGAGTTTGCCAGGTTCTGGAAAGTCTTCTTAGTTCACATATAAAAGATATTGGACTTTTGCTAGTTGTGCAAGGGTATATCATATTATATCAAACATATTGTCATTTGTATGGGAAAGGGGACTGCTTATGTTTTTGTTCATTTTTTGCTAGTTTTCATATAAAGGAATCAACTGTTTTGTTTATTATTGGTGTGTATGAAACTGTGAGTATGTCACAAGGTTTGATTGTCATATAAAAAAGTACGTATTTGCACCTTCTCTTGTCTACTTCTGCGAGCCTTTCCATTTGTGTCTCCTGTTTATTTGCATTGACTTTTGTCCCTCTGTGTGACATCTTAACCTGCCATTCCACCTTGATCTCGGTCTTGCTCTTGGTCATTTTCAGAACCTTTGGAATTTCCCCTTTCTCCAGTCTAGAACACATCCATATCATCTTATTTTATTATTTGTTAGATTAGTCTTCCAAGTTTAACTTGAGTCTCCATATTTTTTCTCTTCCATATTCCATGTCTTGCATTATTCTGTACTTCTTAAAAATCTCGCCTCTGCTGCCGGATCACACGTAAAATGACTGAAAAATATTAGAAAATTGTGTTTGCAGTGAAACAAAGTTAACTGAAAAATCTGGAAATGGGAATTGGTGATGAAATTATCCGAAAGCTATATTTTTCAGTATACAGGTAAACCTCGATTTACGCCGGGGATGCGTTCCTGGACGAACCGGCGTAAATTGAAACTCTTTTTATAATGTAAATCAATGGGAAGTCAATGACGTGCTTTCCCGGCACCCAAACATTGACGACTTAAGTTCCTCAAAAACTGACTTCGCCTTATCCGTGATAGCAGTTTCAGTCAAGGGAATGTTTTTTTTTCGATTCATGTCATCCACCCATAGCGACAGCAATTTCTCTATTCTTTCTAAAAGTTTACTTCTGCTATAACTCACTTGCGTTGCACTCACTCTCGTAGCCTGTTGCATTGACTGTTTTATTTTATATGAATTTTTCATTATGTTAGCCACAGTGGAAGGAGGCAACTTCATACTTCTGCACACATTACGGCGGGTATCACCACCTTCTATTCTACGAATTACGTCCATCTTATCTTCTAACGCAATAGACCTGCTCAACTTTTTAGCAACACATTCACTTCTCTTACCAGACATGGTGGCTCTTCTATAATTTATAAATATAAAACAGTTGCTACTGCAGAATAGTGGTCTAACGAAACACGTAATTGCAGAGATGACTGTATTTATAATTTTTATTCAAAATCAGCGATGTAAGAATTACGATTTAGTATAAGAATCAGTACGAGAAACATTGTAAAACGTTATAAATAATAGTAAAATATATTTTTCTCACTTTTTGACTTGCTGGTTTCAAAAGCGGCGTTATTCTGAATCGGCGCAAATCGAGGTTTACCTGTACTTTATTTAAAGAAAAACCTTGGCAACGAATGAGCGCTTTTGCAGTGTTCCATGTGGCCATATGAAAATATAAGTGAGTAGTATTTACATTCCAAACAAATTCTTTGCGCGTACAGACATACATCTGTATTACATTCCATGGATCCATGCATTAGTGAGATGGCGGTGGGATGTAGAATAAGTCATGATAATGCAATTTATATTGTATATATTTCAAGTACAATTCGTAGTGTTATAATATTTCAAATATTGTAAACAGAAGGTTCGTATAATTAGTGATATGTTCCATATAAATCGCCCATTACATTCTGTATATAAATTATACCACACATTTATATTACATGAAGACAAAATTGTAATGACATTATATCCTATTTGTTAACATTAGAAATTCGTCGACGGAGTGTGTGATTAAGTATCTTTTTAATACTTTAAATTGTACCTTTTTATTTGGAAAACTCGTGAGACTTGATAGTACGCTTTTGAAAACTTTGATGCCTGCATAATATGCACTCTTCTGAAAAGTTGGTACGTGAAGCTGATTCTTAATCTTTGTGTACAGCACGATTAGTTTCAAAGTGTTATGGAGCGAAAATAAGCAAAATAAGGTGATTTGAGTTTGTCAGTGTTGCTGACATGCTCCGCTTAACTTGCGTGTCAGTTTATCAATATGATGTGTCCAATTTAGGTGGTTATCAATTTTCAAATCCAGGAATTCCATATTTACCGACTCGTCTTTTATAACCACTACTTTATTGTGATGAGTTATTTCTTACAATTGTTATTAGTTTCATTTATCGAGATTCAGGATGAGCTTGTTGGCAGTAAACCATTTATTCATATGTGAGAGAAATCATCAAAATTTTTGCTAGAAATTATGACACTTGCGTCATCAGCAAATGTGGGTTCTTTGAAGGTATTTATTTATATCATGAAAAGCAAGGGCTGTAGAATATAACGGCACCACCAGTTGAGTACGCTTTATGGGGGCTAAAAAGTTACAGAACATCTTGTACGCAAATGTTTTCCTCATGCCCTCTCCTGAATCTGAAGATGAAGGCGCCAAACTAAAATAATGTCATCTTTAAATGTGTTGCGGCCCAGCAATGAATATGACTAATTTGCAACAAAAGGCTCCACATCTTTGGCGCGACTTCAAAAAATTATGAAATGTATTTTATAGTAATTAAGGTCTCCTACACATTTAGTTCTTAAAATTAAATTTGTTTTTGTAACATGATTTGGTATTAAATTACCATATTCTGGCCAATATCATGTAGTGTGTCAACTAAGTGTTAAGATTGAATTAAAATTAAAAGACACGTGAGTTTAAATTGGAATAAGATTACAGTTAATAGGCCCTTTCATTACACAACCTTTTTCATTTACTCTCATATTATCTGCATCCTGTTCTGCGTTGGTATGTTCATTATATCTTTGAATGTGCATTCTGTTTGACCTAAATATTTCTAATTGCAATTGCCACATGTGGTTGGTATATCAAACAGTTTTGATACGGATATTCTTGGTGTGGATTTTTTTTAAACTCCCCCTGTGTTGGTGGTTTCAGATCCTGTTTTGAGATCGATGGTCTTGGTTACGATTCTTGTCTCTTTCCCCACATACGTGAAAGCAGAAATTCTCTTGATGTTGTTTTTGTCATTAATTTGGTTCCTAATCCTCTAGCATCTGTTACTGATTATATGGAATACTTCTCCAGAGTACTAATTTGTAATCAAGATGTGTTTTATTATATTTATTTAATTCGTCTTGTTCTTTATAAGGTATTTATTTAAAGTAGCTCATAATATACTCAGTGGCTTGATTTCATCAGTGTTCAGGTTCCTTCCGGCTACGACGCATTACTTAAAACTGAGTGTCGGCTTCATATTTCAACACATTTGGTGCAGCGTCAAATGCCATCTGTTTCATCCAATCCATAAATGGACTTGAGTTGTGAGAGCAGCTCCTTTTTTTCTGCTTGTGGTAGGAAACAGGAACGGGCAGCGTTCAGATTCTGTCATCAACAAAGCGAGTTGCACAACCATTAAGACTAGCAATAACATGGCTTAGAAATTAATCAGGTTTCCTAAAAAAAATTTTGTGCATAGCTACTAGTTTATTTAAGAGCCTGTTAAAGAACAGGTGAAAATATCCTTTTCTGAAGGATTAATTCCATGGAGCCACTGAAGAGGCTGTGAGCAAGTGACCGCAAAATGTAAATGAGAAAGGCGTAACTGAAAGAAGTGTTCACAAATATTACTCACGGCCCTAAGTAGGTCGGCTTCGGTTAATCCCCAGTAGTTATTTACAAGCTCATAGTCTCCCTGAAGCTGCTGTCCTGTAACCATCGGATCATCTGTACTGATAGAAAAGTTGGCTCTGTCTTCTGCAAACCTGTAGCCAAACACAAAACAAGACTGGTACTCTTCAGAGTACACTGACTTTTTTTTTCATCATCTATGGTCAGGTTGACCGTCGTGACCCCTTTATGGGGTTTTCTTGAGAAAGTGCAACGGTGGTTTTGCCTTGCCTTCCGTGACACTGACATTACAAGGGTGGCACATCACATAGCCCATTATTGCACTGATGTGTTCCAGCAGTAATTCTCAGTAATGCAGGTTGCCAAGCCCATAGGAAAAACATAGGCTGGACAGACAGACATGGATGGGCTCGTAAGGCATTCTTTATTCATGGTGGAGCATGAAGAACACCTAATTATGAAAGAAATACAAAATTGACTAAAATACTGGCGTACGCAGACACTGCATCTTTGTGAATCCTGAGCTGATAGAAACTGTAACAGAGAAACCATCTTTGCTTGACGACAAATGCAGACTTTGATTCTTATAATAGAATGATAAGCTTCATTCTGGAAGACGTGACGTGATTAGGAAACAGGATGCCATCAGCTTCAAGCCACATGCCCTGGGTTCAATCCAAGGGTGTCTGTGCTGAGTCTGGAGTGTCTCAGCACACAATTCAACGTTGATTTGCTTGCAGTATGAGCAAGCCATGATAACATCTTTTTTAGTGTTCCATAGCCACACAAATGTAAAATTTGAGTTCAGTACCAAAATATATACACCAAACACCATTATCAGTGCATACTTACTGGACGACGGGGTGTTTCGGAGTAGAAAGCGGAACACTTCCAGTCAGGTAACTGGACCATGGGCAATTTTCAAGATGGATGCCTCGCTGAAGAGCCATTTGGTATACTGCATTATCTTCCAGAATGTGATAACCATGACCTATTCTCTCTGCATCATAGATTTCGATTGCCTCTTAAAGAAATGTCACACTAATGAACAACAGATAATGCTGCATAATGATGAAATATTTAAATACTTACTAAAATTATATAAAGCAGATAAGCTGAGAGAAGGAAGGACACACTACTATTGCTTAACCCTTCGACTTACTCTGCCATCACGGAGATGGAATTCAGAACGTGCTAGAATGGCACAGCTGTTTGTGAGATGTAAACACACGTAGAATGTCATCTTTAGACTTCAGGTTTTAATTTACGTGGACACAAAGAATTTGGTTGGAGGCAAGGCCAACACCTCATAAATAATAATGATAATGTTTATATTAAAAGAGCTCATAATAAGTTATAATTCGCAAAACCAACTATAGAACTAGAAGTGGGCCAACAACATTGGTCACTGCTGTGGCTACACTGCATTGGATGAACGTTGAAGTGAAGAAATGGGAGGGGAATTTAAGGGAAAAGGAAATTGTTACACATCATGGCAGATGGTCGCTGGCCTTTCATTTTATAATTCTAAAGCTGGAGTGGCAGGCAATAGGAAATAAACATGATTTAGTTTATATGTGGGATTTGAAGTTTTCATAGCAGAACAAGTTAAGAGTTTGGTATCCTTGGTTCTGACACCAAGTAGTGCCAATGTTTCAAAGGAATGTGCTGCCCCCATCTCCACAGTAGAAGTAAGTTGTGACAACAGTTGGAAGGACATGCATTAAATTTCAGTTTGTACCAACTGAGATAATTCCACACATGTGAAGGTACCTTCAAGTAAGATTTTGCTCTTTAGCTGGTTAAAAATATGTGTATGGATGAATACAGTATGCCGTAAATAACTGTTTCGTCCATCCTTCATGCCCCCACTTAACCTTCAGCTCCTTCAGTTTGATGGCATTAAAAATGATAACAGATTAACATATTTACTTATCAGGCTTAACATTAGGAAGCACAAAGTCAAGCACTTACTTAAGTGGTTAACCTCTTACATAATTTACCTGTAAACATATAAATCATTCATGCAACGAATGGTAGAAAATGTTACAGTGGAAACATGAATGACACAACCAAGAAATTGGTGGAATGTGCTGGGGCTGCGTTCCCGGAAAATGTGACGTTCGCTGATCAGAGGTTTCCATAAGAATTAATTAAAGAATTCTGCACGTAAACTCTTCGCAGAAGAAGCGTGTAATAAAATTAAAACAGGGAAATAATAATTCAATTCTTTATTTTAACCTTCTGAATCGACAGCTTCAGGACCAATTTACAGATTCAGCCCAAAAAGAAAACAGCAGAACATTCCTTGAGAAGCTGACAGTCACTCAGCCAGTAAATAAATACGCTGTCCTTTACGGAAGCTGCTGCATTGGTCCTCTGTCCAGAGCCAGTTGAATCCAATGTATTTCCCTAAGATCTGTTTTAATATCATTCTCCAATCTCTTCTCACTTGTGCCAGTTCATTACTAGGTAATTGAGTAAAATAAATATAGATATAATTTTTAATAATACAATTTAATTTTGTAATGTTCTGAGTATGTGTCGAGTATCGTGGAAGACGCTGATCTTGGTGCATACGCAAAAGGCCCCAACAAGCCTATAATACACACACTACTCTTTGCCATTGAAGAGAGTACGATTCAAACACAGTTTTGGAGACTTTCAAACATCTTCTTCTTCTTCAAAGCTTAGGCCAACTCGCCTGTTCCAGTCCAATTTGTATGTGAATTGAACTTTCTGTCTCTTCGTAGATCATCCCAATGTCTTCTTTCTCGATTTGGGAAACTTAAATGTGGTCTTATGAATTTATGTCTATAGCATGATCAGGTGACGTAAAAATTATAATAGTCCATCTGTCACTGGCGTTAATGATGTGATGGAACAGCAATTAATTCTGTAATGGTTGTAAACGATAAACTGAAAGCACTCACCCGCTTTACCATCTCGGCTGAACCTGTTTCTCCGGCATGTACAGTCCGGTGGATTCCCAACTTGGCTGCCTTTTGGAATGCATCAACTTCTATTCCCTTGTCTGGCACCTCAACTGTAAATTAGGAAGCTGTCTGTATCGTCAGCAGAAACAAATATCGTTGGGGGTGTGGACTGGCTTCAAGTGGCATAAGATGGTGGCCTTTTATGAATGAGCCACTAGTTTTCATAAAAGGTGGAAAATTTCTATTAGTTGATTGTACTATTGGCTTCTGAAGAACAGGTCTGTCCCATGAGTAAGTCGGCTAGTTACGATCATGAATACAATTACTGGAATGTACTTTAATGAAATTGGTGCTAATATTTTCTCAAACAATATTGTTGCGAATTAGAAGACGTGGAATCTCACTTTACGTGATGACCTAAATGTAATTTTAAATGTGCTTTTTATAAACACAGACTACATAATAAGAGGTTTCATATAAAATCCACAGTTTCCAAAAGCATTTTATATCACGCATATTTTCTTCATTTAATTGTTGCTTTTAAGACTGATTGGCACAAGTGACTAGAAATTCATAAAATTAACATTAATTTTATCTATTTATGTTACATTGTTTATTTTTCCAACCTTGTTCAGGTTATCCACGATTTTCACCTGCCTGCAGCTTCTCTGTCTGCCATGCTACAGACAGCTCGGAGCTGACTATACATTAAAACGTTTCCATGAAATGAAAAAACCATTATTACAGTTAATCTATGTTTTAAGGTATGAGCCATGATAGCTCAGTCAGTATTCTGACTAGTTACGGACTGGACGACGGGTTCGATTCCCAACAGGGGCAGAGGATTTTTCCTCTAGCCTCTGCGTCCAGACTGGTTCTGGGTCCCACCCAGCCTCCTATCCTATTGGTATCAGGGTCCTTTCCTGGGGGTAATGCACAGCCAGGGTGGGATGCTGACCACTCACCCCCATCTAGTGCCGAGGTCAAGAATGAGTAGGAGCTATACCTCCCCTCCCCTCAAGGACCTCCGTGGCATATAGTGACATAGCTTTACTTTACTTATTATGTTGTAAGGAAGCTTCCAAAATTTTATCTTGGAATAAACAGTTTTAAGTTTGATAGCAGAATCAAACTCCAAATTTCATGGGTTAAAATCACAAGTAAGCCAAGGCCTTTTAGGAGTAAACACGGTTCCAAACTGTTAGATAACACGTGAATGAGATTGACAGCCTTTTGATAAAGAATAGATAATGCATCACTTGTAATTACATAAACAGTGACTACTACAGGGTGGTCTGTCCTTCGGTTTCAACAGACATCCCTAGAGCACAGCTTCCTCTCCTCTCATCTGAAAACCTTTCGTCACAGGCATCTCCGCACTTCATCAGTGGTTGCTGATGTAAAATAAATCTTATTATTGCCTACGTGTGATACATGCCCATAACTTCATCAACTTTTATTGAAGCCAAATACAAATTATAGAGAATGTAGTTTTGGGTGTGTTACTTTGTATCGCTAACACAGAACCAAGCAGAGCAACAGGAACATGTCAGTTTGTGTTTGGTTGGCAATAAGCTACTTTGACTAACAGTACAAAGCTTCGTAATGTTTCTTTGTTCTAAACAAATAGCTACGTAAATCAGACAGAAAAGGGAGAGCCCTTATTTGCCATGTAAGCACCCACAAAGACAGTCCAGATTTCTAAATGACACTGTAATAATTAGCGAGTGTATAAAGTGTTTAATTATGGATGTTGGAATACTTATTAATGTTATAAGGATAGTCTTTCTTAAGGGACTGTTCTGGTGAGGGTGTGAGGAAAACCTCAGCCACAGTAGGTGCCCCCATGAGTCAATCAATAACTTCTGAGTGTAAGAGACAATACCACTCAGATAGAGGAGAAGATAAAACATTTCCCTCATATTAAACCTTGTAGTCACATTCTTGATCCTGATACTTCAGTGCAAATTTAATGCTTATCATCACATCGTGTTGTCCGTGCGTTATCAATTTTTCTTTTTTGTGGAATTAAGAAATAAATCAGCCTTAGTATATTTCACACCTTTTATTCTTGAGTATAAAAGATAACATCAGAGATAAATTTTGTCATGAAGTCTGATAAGAATAACAGTAGGCATAAAGTACAAAGCAAGTGGGAAGACGCTGTATCTGACGCAGTTAAAAGAGAATTATTATTCTCCGCTGCTGCCATTGCGTGGTTTGTGGCAGTCACACTGAACAGCAGACAAGACCATATTGTGCTATGCAGATGAACGTAACAGATATAACAAAGTCTGATATAATAAAAAATGTGTTTTTAAATTAAAAATCTTATTCAGGGCTTTATCGGTTTTTCTTAGAAAGTGACCAACTTTTATAAATATGTCAAGTAGACAGAGGTAGTTTTCATGATGGAACATTTTCATTTTCCTTGCACGAATCAAGAAACCACATTTTTATCACAGAATTTTGAAACCAAAAAAAAAGTGAATTATGTGGCAAAATACAGGGATATATAATGTCAATTCTCATCACTGCCTGTGCAGTTCATGTTATGGTTAATACATAAACCAATGAAACTTACCAAATTCTTTGGGAACAGACTTAGGAGGAGATGCCATGTCAATGCCAAGTACTCCTTCATTCTTAAAGTTCTCACAGAGTTGTACTACTTCTAGGCCTGTATTTGTTCCAACAAGCGTGCACAAAATACTTTTAACTTTCACGTGGAATGCTGCTTCACCTCGAGCGTGGCCACGATTTACCGCTCTTACGACCTCGCTTAAAGCTGAAAACAAATATGAAGGTCACTGTACTTTGCAGATTCTTTACGATGCTTTAATTTACAGAAAGAGAGGCTCTTGTAATCCAAAGTTCTACTTTCACATAAATCATCATTTAAGTCGTGTTTCTAAGAATTTTCAAATTGCTTATTCAAAACAAGTGCTTACTGGTGAAGTAATGTAAATAATTGACGAATCCAGAGGGAAATCCAAAATTATTAAGTTTCTTAATGTCAAAAGCATTGCTTTAATGAAAATAAGCAGAGGTTTGTCCGTGAGTACTCGAAAGCACTAAGTACATTAAGTAACCAAAGTGTAAGTTTCTTAATGTCAAAAGCATTGCTTTAATGAAAATAAGCAGAGGTTTGTCCGTGAGTACTCGAAAGCACTAAGTACATTAAGTAACCAAAGTGTACAAGACAGAACTTTGTCTTCAGAAGCCATGCTGGAAAGGATTATGTTAGAGATGCATATAATCATAATAAATTCAGATATTTTGGAAAAATTGTTACAAGTCAAACCAAAGTACCGTTCCTTCTACTTCCATAAGTATGAGAAGATCTCATTTGTTAACCTGCATTTAAAAATTTAAGTTAACAAAGGAATGAAAATGTGAAAACTTCTCCACCAAGACAAGACCAATTGGATACTTTGAAATAACAAACAAGTAAAAACACGTACCTTCAATGTCAGAAGGACAATCTTTAGCCAGAAGCGAGTGTGGGCTATAACGAGCTTCCACGTACAGGACACCGGTTTTTGCCTTATCCTCGCAGAACTCGTACGCTATGCGTTCAATTGCAGACAGATCACCGCTAGAAACGGTGCAAAACTACATTCATTATCTGTGACAATGGTCATTAGAACGAAAACTCTTGAGGCAATGCAGCGACCTTCCTGGCTTCCAACTGCATGACATAATGAAGCAATCTCGGGTGTAACTGATTTCTGTCATATATTTTTGCCAGCTGCTGCTGCTTTATGGAGAAAAATATATTTCGTACAAAATGAAGGAAATTAAGTTGTATTGCTAATTTTGGCTTTTCACATCCTGAACTTACAAATATATCTTTCCGATTCTTGTCTATCCATAAATGTTTACTCGACAGATGTGCAGTTATCTTCCATGTCTGGCATATTTTTTTTTGTTTGAATTTTTATAATTTCCGTTTGCCATATGAGTTTTGCTGTTTTCAGTCATGCAAATCTGTCAGAGAGATAAGAATATATTCATGTGATATTTTCTGGAAAAGAAAGTAATACCTGGATTTATAATTTTATGAAAGATAATGTTAATATCTTTCTGTGCTTTATAAATCACAATGAAAAAAATTAAGAATGTCCTTCCATGAATTTAGACAAAATCTGAAGTTTCACACTTCATTCAAGGCCAGGTTTTGCAATTGCTTCCACTTATGTAACAAACAGTTTAACCTACTGTGTGCTAATTACCAGCGAGGAATAATGACTCCGACATGTCAGCCCCACGATTACCAAGCAATGAAAGTTAAACTGAAGGACACACAGCCTTAATTATGTAAATGTAATGTGGTCCAGTTACGTACGCTATGCACGGTGTTGAAATGAGGAATGGTTCAAGAAAATGTCCTAGATCTTTGGGACGTCTGATGACCATGGCCTCCTGAAGGTCTTGAAATGTGCCATTTCCTGGCAGATGAAGTCCCTTTTCCCTGTGTCAAAATTGTGTTGGAAAATACATTTCTTATCGAGACAAAAAGAAAAACTGGTAACTTCCAACAAACCTTTACCAGCGCATTATTAAGTAAAATAATATTTGGGATGCCTCGGTCCTGGCAGTGATTGAACGCGGCTCTCGGGCCTTCCCATTCACTAAGAGGGAATTCGTTGTGTCTGGGCGAGAAGTGATAACTTAATTCCAGCTGGTGCTAAGTCCTGCAATGCCCTGAGCTATTATCCATCTTCAGGGCATGGTACTTAGGGATTGCGGTCCTCTATGCCGCGATGCAACTCTCATTTCTTGACGTCATCCCCCGACTATTTGAACTGTGCAAATTTTTCAAAGGATTTATTAGGAATCTTTATAAAATGATTTTGTCCTGTAGTCTGTTGACGAGACATCAACGTGTACTTAAGTCTCCTCTGCGTTTACTTCTAAAGCGTCGTTCCTACAGCTTTTTTTATTTATGTTTTCACACAGTGAGTTAACCTCGGAAGCTGATGGGTCCCTCCTAATTTCTTGGACCTTCCCCATGGCATATTATAAAGCAAAGTTGAAAACCAAAGATGATAAATCATCTCCAAGTTTGAAACCATTCTGAATATGAAGTGCATCAGAGGTCTTTGCTGCCTCCATCATCAGGGCAATTGACTCAGAGTTTTACTATACTTGGACTGGAAAAGGATTTCCGAATTTCAGCCAAAATCCAACAGATGAATTTAAATGTTGGTCACAATGACACGCGTTCTAATTATTACTGGTTCCGCTTGCTTTGTGCTGTAAAACACTGATTAATTAAGGCAGCAAATACGAAAGTTGGAAGCTGCACTTAACAATTAAGCAAATGAACTCAAAAGATATGGCGAGTGCGATGTTTGTGAAAGTGTGACTTATGCTAATATCAGTTGCTTTCGATTTCTTACAAATGCCATGGTACTAGCTGTGGTCATGTTACTGTTAACATGAATTAATATTTCTTACTTAGAGAGTTCCCATATTGTTTCATGGCGCAGTGAGCCATCCAGGTGCACATGTAGTTCAACCTACAAACAAAGAAATCACTCCTTATAATTTAACGTACAATTTTTATTTTTGACGTAAATACGTCTATATGGAAGGGTCAGTGTCATTCCCCAAAAAAGTGTAAGATGGTTACCTAGGAAATATCAACAATTTGTAAATATGGACTGACAACAATGGTCAGCTTGCATGCATTGTTATGTTACCTAAGAACGTCATTTGTTTAATCGGCATTGTTGTGTTACATTATTGTAGCCAACAATCCGCTTTCGTTATTGTGGAAAGAGCTGAGCTGTGAATCGCTTGTAGAAGATAATTTTGTGCTGGTAAAAACCTTTTACAATATCACAATTACTTATCTTATATAAGAATTATTACATTACATTACAGAGACGTATTTACGTCGGATTCTCCGGAACCGTGGTTCCACTGTAACTTTTTTTTCAGTTTAGTATGGCATTTATGTTGATCACAGGCTGGCATAGATCATAATTTTAACTTTAGATAAAAGTAAAAAGCAGGCAACATGCATGACTGGAGGTTATTGTTGTGCAACAATGATAACCATTATGCTGGACGATCATTGTTAGAACACGGTTTAAAAATAGAAATAGAGGCTGCTGAAACACATCGTTGCAAAACTTCAGACTGAATTAGTGTAATAATGACTGAAGGAGCAACAATGGCCGACTGCATCAGCACAAGAATTTCCTGAATCAAAACATTTACCCTGGATAATTCGTGCATCAGTGACCTACGCGATGTGTATTCCAAACAGCCCACCTTTCCAAAGTTTCTTTCCCTTTGAACAATTTTCATTGTTAGTCTCCTTCAGACTTCGATTACTTAAAAAATGCCTGTGGTGAACATTTTAGGTGTTTCACGTTCAGAAATCTTTGGGTCACATTTGATACAAAAGTTAAAAAAAAAAAGTTGAGAAGGAAAATCATTAAGATTATATTTCCTAAAATTGTTTGATCATAATACATATTTGCTGTGGTTAAAGGCCTTGGGACTTTCTCCAAGATATAATTAGTGTCCCTGATTTTTTAAACATTTCCTTGTAATACATTAATGTGCAAACTGAATATTAAGTTACGTAAGATTTAAAACTTTCACAGCGCAAGAATGTTATAAAATAAAAAGGATTTTAAAAATACGAAGTTACTTCGGTTGAAAATATGAGTTTAAAACGGTATCATATGGATACTGCCTATATAGGTTTCGAGGAAAATTAAATTCTCTGTAAATACCATTTTCCAAACTAATTTGCTTTTAACTCGTGTATATTCAAATGTAATATAATATTAAAAACATACCCGAGACTGTAGAATTTTATTTGTAACACGGTTGCTGGAAAGAAACATAATTTCCTTTTTCTGACCAATTGGAATACAATTACAACAATACTGTTATTTGAAATCGCCTCTCGTTTTGGCGTCTCAAATTGTTCCAGCCACTCAGTAAGAAGACAAAATACAAGCAACGCACTTCACTCATCAGCAGAAAAAGTCAGACTGAGCGCTTAATCACCTATCTAAGTTTTTTTTCTCTCATTAGTCTCCTACCACGGATATGTTAACTGTAGTTTAATGTCAGTATCTATTACTGATAATTACGTATTATTTAAGAACACAGACAAACAAGTTAAAACACAGGATAAGACCAACGATAATAAATTTCGTTAATGCTTTGTAAATGCGGATATGGGAAAACCACTTATTCATTGGCACCCACAAATTATGACGCATACTGGTAAGGTAATCGATGTTCAGCATAAGTATTTTTAGTTTTTCGAATATTGTGATCTTACTTGATCTGAAAACTATGATAGTAGATACATTTGGAATAATCTGTGATGCAGCTTAGTATAGATTCGTGGTATCATCGGTGAAATGTAATCTTTCGTCTCCCCACCTCAAATAGTGTATTTTAAAAGGAAATGACGAGTAGAGACATCTTTCAATCGTAATTAAGACCTTAACAAACTACTTACAAGCACGGATTATTTATCAACTGCGAGATGCGGCGGCGAATATGAAAATGGCTAGCTGTGTTCTGGGTTGATGTGCCATAGTCTTAGTTTACCGACGTTTTAGGTGGCTTGGTGCCAGAATCTTTTGGGCAATGGGTGACTGTCTAAACTATAATGCTCATTCATAGATGGCAGTGAAGTCACACACGTTTCCAACGGAATATTATTGATAACCATCATCTAGACTGACTGTATGATGGGGCGGGGGCAGTGGGGGCCACAGATCGCCGTGGTTGTTGTAGTGCATAGATAATACCATCATATCTAATTTGTGTCGAAGGAAGATGTCGTTCCGTTTTTGCAATGCAATCACGTGAAGGGCAATTTAGTTCGTGAGGTGTGACGTTTCCCTTTATGAAAAAGAACTGAATATTTAGGTTTTAACACATAGTTGCTGAGGAACGAACGCATAATATAAGTAAGTTGTATTTTTGGCGTAGTTTAGTAGAAACGTATTACGTAACATGGAGTGAAGTTTTGTACTTTGTGAACATAATATTCCTTTGATCTGTTCGCATTTTGGCTGTCCGTTCTTCCGTAAGCTAACTGGAAATGGGATTGCCGTGCACATTGCGTGCTTTTCATTTACGTTATGAATGGATTGAGTAGTTGGTATCTTGTCAAAGGCATGAAACAATGTTTAAAGAGATGTAGTCAAAATCACCTTAAATAAGCCAAGTGTAAACTTTGAATTTAGTAAGAAACCATAACATCATAAAAGTCTATCAAAGAAATAATTACTTTTAAAATTTATACTCACTATGCAATCTCTGTTTAACTGAGCACGATGACGGTACTTGAAACGTTATAATTAAGTGTCAGTAGTTATACTTTGTCAAAATTATCTGATGAAAGGAGAGAGTACTTAAGAAATAGTCAAAAGTCTATTCACATATGATGCATGTTTGTGTGGTACAAGATATGGAGTACTGTGCTATATGTCTGGAATGTAAATTTTCCAACATACGTATTTTAGCCATATACACATACATAACATATACTCTTAACTTCCCAACAAGAATTCAAAGAAGGCTTAAGCACTGCCATTGATATGGCTTCTATAGGTTGTACTACGAAGGGCCACTAGTCAGTGAAACCAGTGATAAATGGACTAATTGGCCATGATGCCCAACCAACAGTGGTAAATAAAATTAAATAATTACAATTGTAGAAACAGTTGATGGTAATAAGTAGGATTTGCTGTTTTCATGGTGGTGGGCACAGAGATAGCTGTCTTCTGGTTTGTAGCACGGTGTAGTCTGGTAGAAGTTTATCTTTGTTTCTACAAGATTGCATATCAAAACATTCCAGAAGACTTTCATATTCATAGGACAGTGAGGATGTAAGTCTTACTTGAATTCGATATATAAAAAAAAGAACTGAAAGATTTCATGATTGACAATACTGTGACATTCTAAAAATATCTTAGTTTTTTAACTTTAGTGACCGAAATACTGGTAACAGAATTAATTTATACATATTCCAACCTCTGTCAGAAACTTAATAGTATTGTGCATCTAAGAGAGGAGGTAGGTTCATACAAGATTTTAGCAGTTCTGTTACCATAAATAAATAATGATAGCAATATGCACCTGCTTGAAGTTCTCTCAGAGAATATAATCACTTCTAGCTGGAGAAACTTCAGTGAAAACTTCCTAAGACTAACTTACTTACTTACTTACTTAGGATACTTAGACAACCCGTTCTTCAGTCCCTTGAGCATCTGCGGGTCCCAACTTTTGTTGGCTTTGATCTATCAGACAGTTGGTAGGACTCCTTGGACGAATGATCGGCCCGTCGCGAGGCCTCTACCTGTACACAGGACAGCAAAACACAGAAAAACGTGGACAGACATCCATGCCTTGAGTGGGATTCGAACCCATAGTCCCATTGACCAAGCGGCACAAGGCCCACGCCTCAGATCGCGCGGCCGCTGTGACGCCAAGACTACCTTGTATTTCCAGTTTTGATTGATTGACATGTATAATAATTTTGGATGATCTATTATTTGTATTTATTTATTTTTTGTTGTGAATAAAGTTTCAGTATATTTCAGGAGGATGGCTGTGTTTTGAAGGTTTTGGCCAATATGAAATATTACTCATGTGTGACAGGGTGGAACAAGAAAGCAACTGCAATGTTAAGGGAGACATATTACGCCCTGCAGATTTGCCCAGTGTGTTATGCAGTGCTACATGCAGTGTTATTTTGTGGGTTCTGAAAAGACAAGGGGTTCCATACAGGAAATTGGAACCTTTTGATTTAAAGAACTGCCCTGAGAACATGTACTTAGTTTTCTCTGTCATTCTCCTTACTAGCATCTGAGAGCTTCTCTCCTTTCACAGGATTTATACTTTTGCTGAACAAATTATCGCTGGCAGAGACGAGAATCAGATGCGCTCCATTGAGTTCCAGTCCCTCCCTTCTGTTCTTGGATCTTGTTAATGACATATTCTAAAGTTGAAAAGCAATGGCCGCATGGTATCTCATCGCTTCAGACAGTGTTTACCAAAGTTCTTTATAAATTTTAAGTTGAGTTCTCAGTACAAAGGACTGCGTCTTCCTAACACCAGGTTTTCTGTTATAAATATAATTAACTCTCATTTATTTATTATTATTCAGGATTTCTGAGAGGTGATTATTGATAAATGTATCTTTGAGTATATTTTGATTCAGCAAATATAAAAAATGTAATCTGTCACTCTACTGCCTCTTAACAGTAACGACTCGTGCGCTGTGGACGTAGATCCGTTGTTGATGGTCTGTGTTTCAGTTAACTCTCACCTCATAGAGAGTTTGTGACACGTTTCTGCTTTTGGACAGTAGTAACATCGGTTCATGTGTTGCAGAAACATTTTGGCAAGTGTTGTGTTACTGGCGTGGAATACATATTTTTCCCACGTGCAAGACGGATTCGGATTTGGATTTTATATTGGTACGTTAGAGTCACAAGTTTGAGGTTTTATGGTAAAGAATATGTAATTTTCTCAGTTGTAGTGTCGTAGGTGGTTACCGCCGTTTTTGGGGGATCATGTTGTCTCCATCTTCAAGTTTATGAGAGATTGGTAGGCCTCTGTTCCACCTCCATTTCCATTGGCTGCCTTCTGAAGGTCAGATATTCCTCTGAAACAGCTCTTTCTAATAACTCTGCATGGCATCACAACACGGAAGACTTGTTACAACATATTTGTGTGTCATTGGGCCTGATGGTTGCCTTTGGCTTATTGCCAGGGATAATTTTATCTTCTGGTGTGCAGATATTAGTAGTATTCCTTGATAAGCTGAATCCTGTAAGAAATGTGAAATCAACACATTGTGAGTAGTGCAGTTTAGTTTCTGGAACTGTGTCATTGTGGTTATTAATAGATAAGGCTTTATTATTATTATTAGTGTTCTGTCTGACGACAGGTCCATATGAACAGGATCCTTCCATCCTTTTCTCGGACTGGGACCTGTTCATATACGTTCTTGGCAGATGATCCAGAAGTGATTTGCCATTGCCTTCTTCTGTGTGTGAATAGAGTAATTGTTGGGATGCCACGGAGAAAACTCAGTGTTGCCTAGACCACGGCCTTGCCCAAAACAAGTTATAAATTCGGGCACCGCCGGAAATCGACCTTGCCCAACACAAGTTATAAATTCGAACCCGAGACCCCAGGATTACAAGGCCAGCGTTCTAATCGCTAGACCACCGTGGCTACAGAGAATAAATAAGAAAATTAAAGAAATAATTTTGATGCTTGAGCAATTTATTCAGTGTGTCTGTAGTAAGCACATGTTTTTCTTTAATTTTTGCAGATTTTCCAGTGTTTTTATTACCTGGGAAAAAATACATTTCCCAACGAACCCGGATAATCAGGAGGATGTAGTTGATACCGCTGATATTCCCAAGAAACTTCTCCAGTCGCTTTTATTGCCTTGTAATAAATTCCTTCCACTGCTGTAGTAAATCTTCCTTATTCCGAGTAGAACTGATAAGTTTGTGGTCTCGGAACGTGATTTATTACCTTCATCTTTCTTCTGTTTTGCCAGAATTTGACAAGTGGTGATTTATACCTTTTAAACTCTTAAATTAGCAATCTTATTCTTGAAAGAACTGGGCCCAGGTGGCTCACCTGTATGTACTTGAAGATAGAGGCAGCATGTTTCTCTTGAGTTGTTGGTAACAATCTACATGTCTACAGTCTAATTGGCTGGTATCCACAAGCCTTCCTTTTCCTGTATACATAAATGAGAAGTCTGCGCTGTATATTTTTCATTGTTAATTTTTGTTTAGCAATGCGTATTTAGGTTACAAGGAAAAGTTTTGCTTTTACGTTCAGTTTTAATTGTATTATAATCGTCGGCATAGAAGAATGCATGACGAGAAACCAGCGAAGGATGCTAATGGCACATGCGTAAATGAGATGTAACCATGAGGCTGAAGTCGCAGACTGCTTAACCTTCAGGAAAGTGCAGACGGTTTATATTATTGTTATAAATATGAGGAAAATCAACCAAAGTAGCTTTATGAATGTAGGAGAAGTTTATTGTGGTGTTGAATGATTAATTTTGGTATGTTTTGCTGACAGGGTTACAAGCCTGACGTGACGGACTGTCGTGTCTTATGTCATGTCTGTGGTTGCTGTGAAATACCACAAAAAGTGGCACTCGTCCAGTATTGAAATCTGAATAGTCCAACTTAAAGTGGTCAGTATTTCTGCTGTTTAATTTGTAACACAAATATTAGGGCTGTTATTTAACTCTTTAGTCAAAATATTGGTTAAGGCATTTCACTTTATACTGTTAAGTTTTTAAACCCTGTAATATAAATTACCTTAGTATTTCATGCACATTTGGATTTCATTATGTCAGCACAACTTTTTCTGGTTTCAGATTTAAAATGATACATTTATGATTAATTTGACTTTCTAAGAACATATTTCAGCTGATTATTTTAATTTACCAATGAATTATGATTCTTGTGTTCATCCCTTAATGTAGTTCGCAGATTTAAGTTGAGCAATATAGATTAACTTATACTGTAAGACGTCTAATAACTGTAGAGCTGGAATAAATGTATTCCAACAGAATAATTGTCTGTAATGTTATTTATTCATAATATTCATATCCTGATGATAATGTGTACAGATAGTGATACAAAATCTGTTTGCTGTCGGCAGTCTGAGTCATGTACCCGCAGCGTCCTTTGCCGCGCCACATCACAGCACTGTACGTGGTTGCCGTTGCTAGTTGCGTGGCGCTCTTCGGCCACGGTGTCGCCCTGGTGGGTGCAGATGTACTGGTTTATTCAATTGATTACCATGAAGAACCAGAGATGGAATTCAAAGATCTCCCTGCACAATTTGGAGACCCAATTCCGATAGAAGGTTTGAAGGTATGTGGGCAGAGTCGTTGCAGAGGGACAGAGCAAGAATTTGATCCTATGATTCCTGTTATGATATATATTACAGTGAGTGTTATCGCTCTGAGATTTGAATGAATACTATCTCATTGTTTGAAGATGTATATTTAATACAAATGAGCATGTTCCTGTAAGCATGGTAATGAACTGTTGGGTTTCATAAGGGGTAGTGAATTTATTCGCTAGATATTCAATAGACGAGGACTCTGTGCCGTAGAATTAATATTTCTGATGAAAAGAAATGTCCACTCCTCAAAAGATCAGATACTTAGTGGTTGACAGTTATGAATAGTGAAAATTTAAAGCGTCTCATGTGAAGGACCTCAACGCAAGTCTCCTTTATTTGAAACAGAGACACTTGGATTCCTCTTATATAATAGAAGAAATAAATTTGGTAAGTGGATAAATGTTTCCAGTGGATTTATATTAAATATTTTAAAATGCATTATTTATAGATACTTTGTTTAATTATTATTTTATAGGATTTGTTTGTGTTTAAATTTAATTACCTTTCCTGCAAACCACCAAACCAGCTGCTGAGTTGAAAATCCTGCTAATTGTCATAGAGTTAGGTTTTATGGACGGTGGCCAGGGTTTAAAAGCCGTTGCTTAGTCCGCCATTTCAAAAGTCTTGATTTTGGGGAGTTGTGTGAGGGGTACTTACCTTAGGACCAGGCAGCTGGCTGACTTATTGTACTTCCTGATCGCATTAACTTTCATTGTACGAGATATGGAATGTAATTCAGCGATTTTTGTTTGGGAAGCAGGAGGTGTTGTAGCTACATAAGTGCAGCAGGTTTATGATGGTACTGTCACTGACGAGCCTCTCTCTTCTTCCTCGTAAAACAACCTTGACCAAGTAGCGACTTTCTACGCTCGCTCACCACATTGAAAGTTAGCACTTTCCAAGTTTCTCAGTAAAAGTGTGAAACTAAAAATATGGAGACTAATATTTGTTTTGTTTGAAGGGCCTGGTCGTGATGGCTGACCCCGCGCAAGCCTGTTCAGATATTCGGGAACCTCCCGATTATCCCAACTTCTTGGGAAATTGGATAGTTCTGATACAGCGCTATGGCTGTTCGTTTGAGGAGAAAGTGCGCGCAGCGCAACACGCCAACTATAATGCTGCAATTGTTCACAATGTGAATTCAAGCGAACTGGGTAAGATCACGTAATCCAAGGATTGTGTGGAAAGTAAAATGTACAGTCCTCTTTGGTGTGAGTGTCAGCTAATGGCTGGACGTTGTATTAGAACCCTACAAGGCTGCATGATACCTGGATGTTTGGGGATTCCACACCCAGTTACTACTACTTGCAGAAACTCTAGGTCTTCATGTAAAGACCTCATTATTGTTTTTGACAAATTTTAATGTGTTGGCAAATATAGTAAATCTCCCAAATATAGAATTTCTTAAATGTGGGCAGACAGACGCTTGGCATGGCTAATAGGTCTATTTTTGCAACCTTCAGGTGTGAATGCACCTAAAAAGTAGGTTTATCGGATGATTTTGCTGTATGTGTATTTGTGTTCCCTGGAGGAGTTTAGGAAAATGATGAGAAAGCTCAGTCAAGATACCCAGTTTCTGGGCTGAGATTTTAACCCGTGACCTCCCAGATATGTAGCAGGAGTGCTGACCTCTCGACCGTGATGTTCGGTAAGCATGTATTGGTAAACGCAGTTTTGAATTTTGTCTTTTCTCTGTGTGTTCAGAACCTATGTCAGCCAAGAATCCAGTGGGTATCTTTATCCCGTCGTTGTTTGTCGGCGAAGAGGCAGGCTTGATTCTGAACGGAAGCTACCAATACACGACGGGGTCTTTCGTCTTAATTAATGATGAGCAGACTTTCAACATCAGCACGCATCTGCTGATCCCATTTGCCATTGTCGTTGGGATTTGTTCCCTCATCATGGTTGTCTTCATGGTGAGTTCGTAGTCATTCAGAATTTATATAAAGTGGAACCTTGATATAACGCGGGTTTCGGGGGACAGCATCAGCACCCGCGTTATATATGAAATTGACATTTATCTAATTTTGGAATCCCTGATATAATGTATATTTATCCAGTGACTAAAATACACGAAATTCAAGGTAAATTTCAGACTTATTTTTCACCAGTGCTGCTGGCACAGACCACTCCAAAGTGGCGCTCTCTAAATGTTGCTGTTCGAACAAAATAACCCCAAGGATAGAGAAACCAGAAAAACACCTATTCATAGCGGACCCTCTGTACCCACACACTACAGCAAGGCGTGTTGCAGTACAGTCTTATAATGTAACCAAAACATTTCATAGAAATTTGTACGAATAATTGTATTGGGGAACGTGATCGTGGCCGTGATATATCTGAGTCTGCGGTATATTGAGGTTCCACGGCATTCCAATGTTTATGTAGATGTGTTAAGTCAAGTGGCATGGGTCTGTTGCAGGTTTGCGTTACAAGTTGACTGCATGCAGTTTAATGTATAACATTATAACAGGAAATTCGTGAAGATTGTTCATAGATTTAGAACCAATAATTTATTTTGTACAAAATTTCCAAAGTCCTACGTGAGCGATTAAATGCGAGCGGTGCGAGTTGCGTGGGTTAAGCGGAAATATCAAACTGGTTGTTTGTGTGGCGCTGTCCTAGGTTACAGCGAAGCGGTCAGGAGAGGGAAGCGGCCAAAGTCCGAGATCAAATATTTTGATATTTACATTTTAACTTCGCAACATTTTTCATACAGTGGAGAACAAAGTGATTCAGGAGTTGGTGATTGAGAACGGGACTCAGTTGTTACGTTCTGATTCAGCTCTGCAGTATGGCAGTAGACTGTCCTCTGACTTCCTGGTCAAAATATTAGATATATATATACTCCACCATTTTTGCAAATGGAAATTTTCATTAATATATTTTTGGTAGTGTAGCATCCAGAAGGCAAAACTTCACTTTCATCGCGTCTAGTTTTGGTGACTTTGAATAGTTTTATGCGTATATTGCGATAATATTAATTTCTGCAGAAAATATTTCGCATGCAGGCAGAAAAAGAAAATTGCTCGGGAAGGTTTAATTTATCCTGAAAAAAAAAGTTGCTGAGATAACAGGTTCTCACAGTGATGAGCATGAAGATGGTTGGCTTTCTTCTGTGAAATTGGTGTGTCAATAAATATTAGTGAAATTTCCCATTATCAAATTTCTAGCAAAAATGCTCAGCATATCTCATTGTTACAAGCAGACAAATACACAGACAGACATGACGCACATTTGGCAACGTTACGGTGCAAAACACTCTAAGAATCATCAGTTTAATATGAAATATTTAAAAATAATTGTTATAGGTACACAATGAGAATTTAAACACGCCAATTTCATTTTGCTGCAGGTTGTGAAGTGTGTCAAAGACTTCCGTCGCCAACGCCGTCATCGTCTCCCTAGGTCTTCTTTACGTAAGATTCCAACAGCCAAATTCTCTAAGGGTGACCCGTATGAAACGTGCGCCATCTGCCTTGAGGATTACCAGGAAGGAGAGAAGCTGCGTATATTGCCTTGTTCTCATGGTACGTTGCTTTTCGTTCGCTGGTTGTGTCTACCCACGTACATTAAAAGTGCTGGGTATTGTGTGTATAGGTACAGAGAAAAGGCATGGAGTCTTGGTCACTGTAGGTGGTGATGCTTCTAGATTTTGAAAGTTTGATTGTCAGTTGTTGCCATGCAACGCGTTGTTACGTTATGCTTTTCAGAATGCGAGATCGCGCATGACACAGGAACGTTAATGGGCCATGAAGGCTCTGTCTTGTATCGAAAATTAACGTACATGAACAAACAGTCAACAGATTCTTGTTGGTGCCCATAAAAGTGGCACGGATTTTGTAGAAAACAAGATTTGTGCTGATGGTTTAACACAGAGTTATGAATTTTTGCTTTGCCAAGATGATAGAACTTGCTGTAAACAAAACTGGTTTCTAATCTTAGTTTCATTGCTGCTGTTGGAATTAAAATTACTCTTTGCGTCTCTCTCTACCTCGCTCCCTCTTCCTCTCCGCTGTATATATCCGTGACTAGGATAACGTGTTTGAGTGCCCCAAAATGCATTATTTATGTCCTAGGATTCCAGTTACCTTGACATGACGTGATTGAACGTCTAACTCAGACTGTTGTTTGATATGAATTCAGTTAAATACAGAAATTAATATGTGAGGCTCGGAAGGTGTTGGCCTGAGAAATTGATGACTGCTCAAGTATCTTTTTCTTTGTTAAATGCTGTGATGACAGGAACATGCTAGAATTTGTAACTGCACTTGTAAACTTCTTATAAATGCTCCGCAGCGAGCTAATGGAATACAAAATCCATTCTGTGAACTAGAAGAAAATTTAATAATTCGGATGACAGCTATTTTGTGGAAGTATTTAAAAAGGAAACCTTATGTCAAAGCGGAGCAAAAGTCATAATTGAAAATTTTGGAACACAGCTGTGCTCAACTGCGGGATTTATGTGGCATTTAAAGTAACTTCCTTTCACAGAAATATAACTACAGCTAAAATTAGGAAGTGAAAGAAATCGCAGAACGTGGGAACCGATTAACTCTTAGAGAAATGTTTTGAAACAAACAGAAGTTTGCTGCAATTGATAGAGAACTAAAGCTGTAAGTAGAAGGCGATGGTAGATTATCGGCCGTACGGCACGGCGGAAGTCAGGGATTTGGGAATTTAACATGTAACCTCTTGGAATCTTTTACAGTTTGTTGCCAATATGTG